GTGAGTGCGTTGTGTTTTTAGATAAATTGTTGTGATTTTGTTTGCTTCCGATTCTCCTGTGCTGTTGCTCCACCAGCTTTGAGTACATAATTTGAGTTCAGCGTATTGCCTACCTAAAAAAATCAAATTGCATTCACTATCAGTTACGGGATCTGATACGGTCACATTTTGTTCAGGACGTGATGTTTTTGGGTCCCTACAGCCATGCGCGTAGCCACGTCTGTGAGAATGGGTAGCATATTAGGATTGGAAGGTCAGACCAGAACGGGGGGGGGGGGGGGGGAGGGAAGGAGGCAGTGTGGTCGGCAAGTGGTATTTCGAATGCAGACACGTCAAAAGCGTGCATTGTACTGTCCGAACCGGGGAGGGGGCAAAATCCACTTCGGGGAAAATTGGGAGAACATGCCCCTTGCTCCCCCAGTGGTTAAAGTCATGCCTGTACCCAACAAGCTACCACGTTTCGTGTCGCGAATGCTGTTTCCGTGACGGATGAGTAGCCACGGCTTTTACTGTATTTATCCTCACAGCCACTGAGACCGTGAATCAGGAACATGAACAGGCCTAGGAGCAGGGTGGGATACGCTACTGAATCCCGGAGAAAGTTTTCCAAAGCTTTGCTAGATGTACAACGGCATGCCCTGCATTTGAGGATGGATCCTTGTAAACGTCACAGTTTGTTTTCAGCTGCTTTCGAAGACCTTCGCGATTGCCTTCATTATAACGGTGTTGTTAACTCACGGCAGGTTTTTATAGGAGAGGCCACGGGCCGGTGAAGTCGTAGTTGACTTATGAGCCAATTTTTGACTCGAGCGACCCTACCCGGCCGTCATGCTTTACAGAAGTTAATAGTGTTGTAACCACTGGTCTCAGTTTCGTGCAGTTATCAGCAACAATAATCCGAGTTCTTGAGAAGTAGCGTGTCGATGGTTAGGCATTTGCACGGACGTGTAGCCTCGTCTGAAGAGAGGAGTTTTTCCTGCCACACTTTAGTGTCACCACGATTCCACTTTGCATTGGATTAACGTAAAAAGGTCAAATTGTAAATTGCAAAAGCACTGAAAACATGGATTCAAACCGGGTCCAGTTTCCGACGATCCGGGAACGCAGCGACGCGGAACCAACAGAACGTGACGCAGGAGAGAATGGAGCCTCGTATAGACAGAAAGTGTGATTGGATCAAAGCAAACGGTCACACGTTCTCGTGTGAAAAAAATGGATCCACTCGTTTTGAGGACGTTGTGAGGATTTGTTTCCGATCTCAGGCAACCGGCGCAGAGGAGGGAGTAAAGTCTGCACGACCTCGGTGAATGCGTCGTCTATGACTCCTGTAACGTACCACAAAATTCCCTGACGCGTGTGCTCGTCGGTAGTCGACCGGGATACGGCCAATGTCACCTTTCCGAAACTGGCCTCGAATGCAAGACGCTGTGGCTTTAGCTAGGCCATGAATATAGCGCGGACTTATAGCCCAGATTATTGCAAACAATGCCCGCCTCAGACTCGCGTTGTTCGTCGTACTTCGGTCACCAAACTCACTCACTTGGCAGGACTACGAGGGACGGCAAATCCATGGATTCCGTCGAGTTTCTGTATCAACCCTGATGGAGCTCGTAGCCAGCTTTTTCAAACATATGGTTTGCGTTTTGGCGCATGAATGTCGCGTCACTCCCACATCGTTGGCATCAGGCGTCGCACTGGTCATCGCTGTGGTTGGACCGTACAGACTCCATATCCCTGCAGTTCTGTCAGAATCAGTTGATTGATATTGGCGCTGACATTCCTGCTGTATCAAGAGGAAATAATCCGTTGTGCCGATGGCGCTGTGCCACGGACGGAAGGTACGTTCTTCCGTTCTGGCGCTCATGACCTACGGTATTTATTGGTCTGGAAGCTGCGTTAGTGATGCCGACTTATTTCTCATAAATGGGCGGCACAGATGCATGCTATTCGACACTGATTCCTCGACCTCGCATGACCTGTAGGTGACCCGTATGTCATTGGGGCTTTACAGCGCACTTAGCTGTTGAGGCTATATGGCGTTGTCTGCCTCTCACCCTGGCAGGAAGGGCGGGCACCGCGGGGAATCGAACCCCGTATCTCCGGTTTCCCAGACGCGCGATAGTTAACGTAGACGTGTCAACCACTATACTACCGGCACCCTGTGGGTGACCCGGTGTGACCACGTGCATCATGACTGATCTTAACTATCACGCGATCAAATCAGCCGACCGATTGCACCAAAATAATCCGGAAGGAGAAGGGCGTGATATGACATCTGCAGTCAGCGCATCCAAAAATCCCAGCGAACAACACACATCCTGAGCGAGAATGGAAGTGCGAAGCGCGAAAGTGCTGCCCGCAGCGACAAAACGGATCGTGCCATTCGCTGGTGACGCCACAACCCGCATCATGACGCGCCATGCATTTTTCCTACAAAAAGGCAGCATTGACCGCGTTGGTTGCACTGAAAACATGATGGGCGTACCTGAAGCGGTTTTGGCTTGTTCTAGAACCAGGAGCGGGCTACCGCCCCCCCAGGCGGTGGCGCGGGAGTATAGATCACGATTGTGTGCAGTTACGACGTGTTGAATGCGTCACGTTACTCGCTAACAACAACTTTACATCGGATAATTTGCCCGACTCACTGCCGGTCACAATGTGATGCTTCGCTTCTTTCCACAACCTGTGTTCCATGTTCGCCTGTACTGGCGCCTGACAGTTTACACTGCAGTGAGTGCTACTTCAGTTTTGGTCGCTATGTGACCATGTACTCGTGGTGCCAGAAAGCCCAAATAGACGGCTGTTGACTACGGCCGTGACGTACGGGCGGCTCGGCACGTTGCCAGGTCGGCGACTGGCGTCGGTTGACCTTGCGGGGCGCGGGGCGGCCAGTGACTGATGTCGCTCCATGCCGGCGGCCGGTGCCGCCCGGCCGCCCCGTGCGCCGCCGGCCATTCGCCGTGAGCCCAGCTTAGGACGGCGATTGTCTGGCGCTATTTCGGGCCGGTCGTCGATGGGGTCCCGGTGCGGCCGGCGGCAGGACGGTCTGGCCGGCCGACCCCCGCCGCCGCCGGACGCGGTCTGCACCGGCCCCGCCTCAGCCTCGGCCTCCGCCGGCCGCCGGAAGCCGTCCACCGGCGCCCGCCGCGGCACGCACCGCCGCGTCACGTGCGTCTGACGCGCGCCGCGCACCTCTGCTGACGACGTGCGGCGCTGGGGCGGTGCTCGGCTTCTGGCGCTGGGGACGTCGTGCAACGACTCACACTCCGTTGAAGGGGCTCGCTGCCAAGCGGCTGGACGGTGTGCTGGCGTGGGGGGGCTTGGAAATGGCGATTGCTGGGAAGCTGGGAGGTGATGGCCTGGGCGACTGGCGGGGCACTTACGGGGTGGGGGTCGCGTGTGCGTTGCACTTCGGTGGTAAGTGGGACGCCTGGGAGCAGCGCAGGGCAGACTGGGCGTCGTGTGATGAGCACGCGTGAAGCGGGACAGGTCAGCGGGCCAACGCTGAGCCGTGCCGTGACACCCCGGAAGGGAACGAGTTTCTGCTGGTGGTCCAGTGACGCAAATGAACATATTCGTTTGGCTGCCCACTTCGTGTTGCCCGTTGACTGCATTGGGGATGCTGAAATTATTTTGACGGATGTAGAGAAGGGAAATTACCCGTAGGATTACCAACCTACCCTCGGTGTTTTGTACAAGGTTATACTGTTTCGCACGCTCGTTGAAGCATCGCGATGTAGTTATATGCCTATTCAGAGCTGGCCAGCCGGGTCATGCCCCCTGCGCGGCGAAAAAAAAACTAAGCTGTATTTCCCAACTTGACAATCACCTTGATATCAAGCTAAAGACGCAGCCTTCAGAGTTTGGCCCCTCTAAGATTCGAAGTTGGATCGCACCTGGATTGAGTGCAGTATTTTACCGTAATTTCCCCTGGAGCTCTTTGCACTGCACTCACGTCAGCCATACGGTATTTTTAACATGCCACCTTTTCTACGTTTGGCGTTCGAACAAACCAGCAAGGGGACGAATTTCCATATTTCTTCTCACGTCGTCGTATTGCTCTGCTTAGCACCGTGTATTTTTATATACCATATATTTATAGATAGAACATATTTTTGGTGCATCATGGCTTTAGTTATATGCTCCTTTATCTTTTACCCACTCGTCAAACGGCTTAGATCTTTGGATGCAATCGGTTCTAATGTAGCACAAAAACACCCTGAATTACAGTTCAGGCCTAGCCAGCAGCATGCAGCGCTGTGCGACTTAACCATTTGCGCGATATCGTTAACCCGCGTTCGACAGGTTATTCGGTCCATGCATCTGGCCCTTCCTTCCCTGCGACGTAGCTTTCATGCAGTACTCTGGTCAACGGCGCGGCCAAGCGAGATGGAGGAGAGAGCTCATGAGTTGTTAACCCATCCGCCCACTCCTCAACGCCAGGTGCAGTTTTTCACCACACTTTTGAATATTATCCCGCAGTAAAGTGACCAGGAAAGCAGCTTTGGCCTGACGCTATTGGCCACCATGGACAGTGACATGCCGCGCCCAACACCATTAATTTGGTGGCTAGTTCAGCGGATGGCCGGATGAACGTGTGTGGTATGCACCTGAGCAATTGTTTTCCACGCCAGGGTAGACCAGCATTGATGCACTTTGGTGCGTAAGGTACGGTGACGCTTGTGGCGTCTAGTCTGTTAGCAGTGTGCTTGTACGATACATCGGGCTGGGACTCGGTCCTTGAAAACCCTGTCCCCCTCCGCTCCTCGCAGATCGCGGATCTTGGTATCCCCGTCGGAAGTCATGGCGGCCCCGCCTCTTGCCCACTCGTAGGTCTTCACCGAGGTCTCCCCGCCAGCCGAACGCTGCGGGCGTGGTCCTGCGTCAGTGAGCGGCCTCCCCGGCTGTGTCCCGTGTCGACTATCGCTCACCGGATGCCGCTCGGATGCCTGGTGGCTGACGCCGCGGCCGTCAGTGACGCGCACGTGCTCCTGTTGCAGGTGCGGACGGCGCAGCAGGAGACAGCCGGCCCTGAATCGCTCGGCTAACGCCCCGTCGTCGCGACTAGTGTGTCTGCCCATGTGTATACCTGTTGACCCTGTCCTCGGACGGGCTGCCGCCCCGCCCATGTGCTGGTGGTCGTCGCCCGACGTCGCGTGTGGTGCCCAGATCGTGAAGAAAATTACGCACTTATAACAATAAACAAAACGGCTACCACTCTGGTGTTTGCACGCCGCCGCGTCGGCCCGCGTCCGGGCGGGGCCGGGTCGCGTCCCATCGCTGACCGCGGCTGCACGTGGCGGGCGGCTGCGGCTATCGGCCGCCACATCTCACTCAGGGACATGAACGCCGAGCGGGCGGCCTTGACCGTACGCCGGCCGGCATATGGAGGCGGCGGCGGCAGGGCCGCGGCCGCCGGTCGGCGCAGTGCCGACACGTCGGCGGCCGGCGGCGGGCGCGCGTGTCCCGCGCACGGTGTCGCGGCCGACGGCGAGGTGTGAGCGGCGCCGCTGACCCCAGCACGCCGCCGGACGCCCAGCCGACACCCGCAGGTCAGTTCACAGCTGCCGTAGCGACGGACCAAACCGCCGGTGCATTCATGGCTGGGTTTCGTTGAGTTTGTTCGCGGCTTCCGCTCAGTATTTGTGTTTGGTTGTGTTTCGCTTTCATTATGTGCGTTAGAAATAGCACATCTGAAAGTCGAATAATATCCCTGACATCTTCAGAATTGTAAATGTGGCACTGTGCACTGTTCATTTTATGATACACGCCTACGGTCCACGCTCAACAAGCGAATTCAGAATATAAAATCAAACCCGCACTAAAATATAATAGCAAAAAGCGTTACCGAATTACATATAAAGGTGCACCATGAAAGTTCAGAAAAGTATTCAATATAGATGAATAATGGATACGCTCAGACGGACAGCACCACTCTTGTGGTGCTGTCCTGCATCTATGATCTGGAAATCTTGCGTTTACGAGCATCCACGTGTCTCGCATCTACGAACTTTACACTTTTGTAGACGGCAAGCCGCTGACCGCGAAGACGTTGGCCGCTAGAAGTTTCTGTTACAAGTGCCTTATTTTCGCTGGAAGACTTCGAAATGACACCTTTAAGAGTGTTTGCACGATCATTGTAATATGCAGATGATAGCACATTTTAAGGCGACGATGATGTGTAATGATGATGATGGTGGTGTGCCCAAATAAAAGTAGATTCCTATCACTAAACAGTGCAAATCACACTGATGTTTTTATATGCAAATAAGGGTGGAGGGAAAATATAAAGTCGACTCTTGGGTCGAAATGCGTGTACATTTGTGTTTATAAGCGGAAATTCAGGACCATATTGTTATCGAAAATATTTTAGATATGATGTTTGTAGTGCTTTCAACCAAAAAATCCGGCCATCAATCGTTCAGGTTTGTTGTACCAACACGTGGTCGACGCGAATCCCAGGTTGTTTCGTCCCTCGCGCCTGGATAGTCCTACGCGTCAACGGACCGATGTGTGCACTGCGTCGGCAGCCGACGAAGCACATCGTTCTCACATCCATTACCATCGCCAGAATCATCATCTTGTCATCAGCTTAATCATTACCAGCCGAACATTACCCATGCTGCTCATGCCTTTGGACTGCAACACCGTATCCGCACTAATTGCATGGCAGCACGCAACAAATGGAGACATCACCAACAGCTCGATCTCAGCATCCAACGTTCAGTCTAAGCCATCCAACGTTCAGTCTAAGCTTGTCAAGTCCTTCACTGTGTCCGTCATCGGCAGATCGGTCCTGTGTTGGGCTCTCGCAGTGTCTGCGCAGAGCATCTTACGTGGCCCATTCTTTTCCCTGGTGCCTCTTCTTCACGCATCTTTCGGTTCCTTGCGAGTAACAGGGGCAATGACTGGAGACTGCGGGAGGGGTCCACATCAGCGGCGATGTCTCCATCGGATGTTTCCATATCGGGGTTAAGTTACTCGCGTCTTTCCGACCATTTTCCTGGTGCTTCGATATTTATGTTCGGGGGACCAACCGCGATATGCCATCTGGGTCTTGGTGCCAGCACCTGCTGGTCCGGCGTCCTCTGATCTCCGCCACCAGCATCCTCTTTTGCCGATCGTCGGTCAGCACCGCGATCAGAATACGTTCCCTGTGGGCTCAGGATCCGTTGCACTACAGGACATTCTGCGTGAAATCGCGTCTATCTCTCGCGAACTTTGTTGACAAAATAATAAAGAAGAACCGGCATTTCGTCCATCGCTGACGCATGGACGAACTTTTCATCTGACCCCGACAGGGCCGCACTGGCTCAGTATGCAGATCACTAGACGCTCCAGCGCTGGTGCCAGCGCCTCCATCGACATGTACGGGCATAGCAATCTGTTTACCAGCGTTATCCAGCTAGCTCAATGAATAGCGTCAGGGCCTGTGGCTCGCGATCGCTCGGTGGCATCTGGTCCGGCTTAGACTTCTCGGCACATGTCACACAGATGCTGATGTTTGATCATCTTCTTTTGAAAGTCGTTCGGAATTACAGGCTCTTATCCCTGTAAGGTTCAAGCCTCACTAAAAGCAGCGGTCGAATCCCTCAACATCGCCTCACCGCTTGGTTCTTGGAAGGACGCCGGACCAGTCGTCCAGCCATCAGCACCCTTGAATACATGCCCGAATGTCAGCTCGTCGACGTAGATGCTGCGCTCAGCCTTCTGAAGCGGGTGAACCGCTTGTGTGGTTAGACTTGTCCGCTCACACTGCTGACGCGGCCGGTGCACACAGCTGTGTCATTAGGCCCCAGCTCCGCTGGATGTCCTGAGCCACGGCCAACATCCCTGCAGCATCAGCCGCACCCGTTGTCTTTGGAAACACATCACCCCTCCTGAGTTTTTTTGGCGCAAAATTTCCCGATTGTGCATGGATTTCCAAACAGTACGCTAGCATTGATCGACGATTTCGTCGAAGAAAAGCACGCCCTTTTTTAGTGGAGGCGTACTCGTGCGTGTGCATGTTTCAGTGTCGGAGCAGGACAATATGCTCTCACGCATAGATGGCGGCGTAGTCTTGCGTAATTACATTACAATGGGCTTCATTGACAGCCAGTGCGCGCAAGCAGTGTTACTCGGTCTTTGTCTGCAGATGAGGGAGCGGAGTCATACTGCGCCTTGATCGGAAGTGCACTCACCAGCTGCACAGAAAGGCGTGGTGATGCCAATCAATGCCACAAGCGGTGTTTGAGGTCCAGCATGGGGCTGCTTTATAAGATCAACAGTATTTTCTGGATTTGTTTTGAACCTTTAAATGGCCAGGAAGTCATTGCAGATCACGTCGTATTAAATAAAGTTATGGTATCGAAGAAGCCGTGAATGGACGACTGAGCATCTGAACCATGCTCCCTGTTAGTTTGCAACGTTTGGCATGCACGATTGTATGCGTAATGTTTCCGGGCCTCGGGAACCTCCAAGTCTTTGCACCTGCGTCCAGGTCACGTAGCTGATCGCACCCGCTCGTCATCCGCAAAAGCACGTACCTGGTAATGGAGACCAGGCTGCCACCCACCGGCCTTGGACCAGTGGCACTCTTGAGTCGTACCCCTGGTTATGTGAATCGTGTTGAGTTCCGTCTGACGTCACGCGGCACGTGCCACGCGCCACCGATTGTTTCGAAGCCGGCATCAGTCTTTACGCCGAGTCGGCGCACCGAATGGTGTCGCTGTTGTCGCGATCTGTCTGCTGAGGTACAGGGACAGACGGATGGACTAATACCGATCCTGAATATTTCCGAGCGACCGCGATGTATGTTATCGTGCTTCTCCCTTTCAGCTCGCTCGATTTTGATGCAATGGCAACGCATTGCGAACGGCATTTGCTGTGGTCAGATTCGAGGCACATGATCGTACTACTCGCAATATATTAATGGCAACTAACAGCTTGGCAACGCGTATCGCACAAACACCTTTGACGACCGTGGATTTAAGTGGAGCACGTTTGGATGGCTTGTATGAAAATATTTCGGTCTACCAAATTTGCGAGTCTTGGGGTGTTGGCTCCCTAGACTCGGAGGAACGCAAACTCAAAATGCTGCACGCGTACGTGGATCACATCTTGCCACTTACCACCGCGGGCAGCCTTTGTATTGCAGCAAATGCTCGTAAGTTTTGGAGAATGCAGCTTAACTGCTGCAATGGAATATAATGTAAAATAAAGGCTGCCAATGCAGAGCATACATGGTATAGGAGTGCAACTTGGCACGAGCGTCCCACACACCATGGGTAGACGCCATGGGACCAAAAAAGCTGCCCAGCGGTATTTCAGCTGCATCAGTCATGATTTTCCCTTTGCTTTTTCAATTGTGCTCCCCATTCCTGAAAACTGTACGAAACTGAGGTCAGTGTTCTAGAGAGGTCTTAACTTCTATGTAGAAGACGTGACTTGGCAACCATGGCGCCTCGGGCCGTCCACGTCAAAAACTTCGTTTCGAGTAGGACTTGTTCAGCCTGCGGTTTCACTTGGAAAGAACTAACTCATATGCCCGTCCCGATGGCTCAGCTGGTTATCCCACCTTCCTTCCGATTCCGTCACCCGTGGCGGGTTGGGTTCGAGTCGTTTTGGACACTCGCTACCAGCGTCTGACAGGGGTTACCTGCGGCCGCGCTAATGGCTTAGTAACGTCAGAGGCCAGGACGGGCGGTCCCGAGCATTGTGACGCGTTGACATGCGCCCGGCCGGAGGTGAGACAACCGCGCCTGGCCGAAGGGGGGGGGGGACGGACCTCCTCCCTGGGAGTTCCAACTTCCCGACATCGTACGAGAACAACAGAATAACGTCGTGAGGGTCTCATAAAATCGTGGAGAGTGCACACTAAATGTTTGACCTAAGGCCAAATGTGAGGTCATTAGAAGGTCACAAAAAACGGTGGCTCTGATAGATGCAGTTAAAATATGCCAATACGTGAACACAGATAAGGGTGGCACAGAGTCAAGCGTGAAGCGTCTGTCATACTGTCGGGAGTCCATTCAAATCATTTTTGTTCCCTTACGAGGGCCAGGTCAGGCCACATTTCCGCTCAAAGCTGGTCTACCAGCAGCCTACAAGAACGACAGTTCTTTGTTTTCTTTCACGATGTACTTATAAGTTTATTTTATTAGATGCAGCTATAGGACAACAGTATCAGAGACACAAATATCTTTTTCAGTTGATTTAAAACTTAGCTGAGGTCA